GAGGAGAAGAGGGAAGATGGACAGGGGGTTTTGGTTGGGTTTTGTTGGGGGATTTTTTAAGGTATTTGATACATACCTGTCCCAGGAAGGAGGAACAAGAACCGATACACAGAATCAACAGATAGCTAACCAAATGGCTGACACGGCATTTGGCCACTTCAATATGATCCACACAGATATTTCAATTATCAGGAGAGGAAGGAGTTTAGTATTTTATCCATTGCAAGACCCATCACACATACAGTAAATATAAGAAAAATCACCAAACTGGTTTCTGGGTTTTGTCACGTATGAGAATTGGTTTCTTAAGAAGCCTCTTCACAGGTCTATTAATGCTGCAACAGGCTATGATGTAAAAGGAGCAGAAAGAATAAAGCAAGCAAAAGCAACTCAGTTAATGTACAACATTTCATCATCTTCTATGCAAGGCTCTATTCTAGCCCCTTACCAATTGTTTGGCTAAAAGAAACTAGGAAGCAGAGTGGAGAGGGCGCTCCAGTGAGAACACACATCTCTTTTCTGCAGATAAAGCACTGCTGGAGATCTGATCCTGAAACACTCAAGTTTGTCTTTATCACAACTAAAAACGCAAACAGCAAAGCTGATATTCACTGACCCAGCTCCCAAAGACACAACATCAGGCACGGCGTGGTGATGTTTCTGACTGTGGGTGACAGTCAACTCCCAACTCTTCCCTTGTGCTATTCCGGTGACTCCATGTAACCCTATTAAGTGCTTAACATGCCCTTAGTGACACTAAAGACCTTAAAGGTGTTTTCTAACCTAGCTGATTCTGTGATTCTATGATCACATATCCATGCTGTACCAGAAGGTCAGAAGTTTTTCCTTGTAAATGTGTGATTAACAGCAATGGCTTGAACAAAAGAGAACCCTGTCCCCTGCAGAGAATCATTTCACCCCTGCACAAAAGCAAATGAAATGCAAATTTCTGAGGTTTATCACTAGAATTACTCTTAAAAAGATGCTGACTCGAGGTTTGCTACAGTGATGGAAACTTTAGTTAGCCAGTGGTTATCGGAAGAGGGCTCAAGTCACTTAGGCCATGACAGGTAAAGCATCTGCTTTGTTGGCAGCTGGTCAGCACTGAGCCCTTTCTATACCTGCCCCCTTCCCCACTCTTCCAACTTTTGGGCTTTTGCAGTCATTCTGAATGTTAAATTCAGTATCAGATCATCCATCCTCTTACCTGCCCACATGGCTAAAACACATCAGGTCAGGAACACAGCATCATAAACTCACAGAACAGTTAGGGTTGGAAAGGACCTTAAGAACATCTGCCACAATAAGATGATCTGTAAAACTCTGATTTCACACCCTGACTTCTCAGCATTCCTGACCTCAAACAAATGGGCAAGCATCTCTACAAATACAGTGGGAAGAACAAAACCCAAGGGGAAACTGATTTTGCCCACGGCAGAGGAGAATAAAGAGTGGCACATTTAGACAGTCAGTCTGGAAAGCTGAATGCACAGGCAGCAAATAGAAACAAATACAAGGCAGCACTCTCTTTTACAAATCTGCTTACATAAAGAGGCCTACCTCATGAACACAAACACATATTTGCCCTTGTAAGCTCTCCTCTGCCCTTTCTTTAAAACATTAAAAACCGAAACACCAACTGCAGATATGACAAAGACATTATACACAGCAAAACATCAAAAGCTCAACCCACAAAACAACCCAATCCACCCTACTGCTGCTGTCCCGCAGCTGCATCAAGTCTGAAATGCAAAGATTAAGGAAATAAACTTGTTCTTGAGAAAACAAACCATGAGCGTGTGCAGTCAACCTGCTGAACTAGCCAGCTATGGCTCTCAGTGAGCCAGGAGCCCAGAGACAGCCTGCAGAGCTACTGTGGCAGAGGTGATGTGCACAAGGCTGTAGTGCTGAGCAGCTCAAAGCCATCCCCTTCCTAATTCTATCTGATCTGCCCAGTTTGCCTGTTTCAACTGATTCACAGAAAACCAAGCCCATCTATTCACAAGTGTGCGTTATCACTGCAGCCTCAGTGACTCCGGATGATTACACTTACATTGCAGTCAATAAAACCACAACACTACTGCCAAAGGACAGAACCAACACAATCAAAACAGAAAAGAGTATGGGTGAACAAACAACAAAGAACAGTAAATATTATCCATCTGGGATCAGGCCAAGAGCCAGAGCAAAAAAAGAAACTGAAATAATATGAAGCAATAAGGCATAATAAATCAGCCACACTAATCACTATTTACATATGGTTATACCTTATTGTCATCTATTTTTAACCAACTACACAATCACAAAACATCTGCTAACAAGAACGTGAAGTTAAAAGAAAGGTTTCGATCAGAGAACCAGTGCTAAGGATTCTCACTGCAGAGAGATTCCAAACAGCTTTGCAGCAGAAAATGCAGATGATCAGCATGGCTTTTCTCCACACATTCATCATGCCATTTTGTTTTTAGAAGATGGAACAATAAATTAATGTGGAATAACAGACATTAGCATGTTAGCTCTCAAACAGTTGACATTTTATGATCTTAAGCGCATTTATGAGGAGTGAAGATAAACTTCATTCCTACGTTACTTAACACTTCAGCTTATGCTAACAAAGCAAAACTGAAGCTATCAACCACTTGGAGGTTTCCTAGTTTTCATTGTTCTCCCAATACTGTAGAAATCTGCCATATAGTCCTTTAAGTAGTTCTTGATCTTTAGAGATAATTGCTACCAGTAGGAATTATCCAGAGAGAGATCTGTCAAACAGCTACTTACATCTGTGTGGGGAAAACCACCCCAAAATAGAACTATTGTACAGAGAATTATTCAGAAACACTATTTTAAGAAAGTATCACACAAGAAAGCATCAACAGTTCCATCCAAAGACTAAAGTTATGTTATTGTTATTCATTCCATTAAAGTTATTATTTATTCCATTATTCCATTAAAGTTATGTTATTAATTGTTATTAATTCCATAAATTCCATTAATAACTTTAATGTTATTAAAGTTATTAATTCCAGACTAACTGGAATTAATTGGGGGGGGGGGTCAGAACCCACAAATACAGCTTGGGTTTCTATTTATTAACAGCAGTCTGTATACAATAATAGATATGTAAAGTATACAAATATTAATATAAAATATATAAAATATTTGTATTAACAGCAGTCCAATATAAACCACTTTTTTCTCTTACAAAAAGATTACAAAGCTTGACAATACTTCTGAAGAGAGCCTATACTGGAGACTCTGCCAGTTGAGAACTTCCTAAAACCCAATGCAATACAGCCAAGAACATCCAAGCAGACACAAGAACTCATCTGCTTTGCTACAGGCTGAAACTTCTCATCTAGAGCAAGGTTGAAGTGTTTTATGTGACAACATTTTCTATTACATAGTATAACAAAAAGATGTGTTGCTGCATCCTTTTAACTTTGTGTTTTGTAAAAAAAGAAAAAGAGAAAGTAAGCTTTAAACTTTACTGGTCATTTTTAAGGTCATTAAAATCATTTCAGTATCAGCCTACCTTTCAGAACTTGGACTCTGTCAGTACAGCTCCTTATTTCCAGCTTAACACACTTCCATAACATACTACATTCAAGAGAACGCTCCTATACAAGCAACATTGAGTCCATGTGTTTTTCTTACCTTTCCAGTGTCTCATCTCCCTTCCCACACCAGTTTTCTACTTGTGATCATTCAATTATCAAGCCTCATGGACAACTATAGCAGCAAACACCAGCAAGAACTTTCCAATCAGTTTTCTGTGGGCATGCCTTACATCCTTCCGCCTCCTCCCCTCAGTACAGCATCTTTGTATAGCATAGGCAAGATGCCCCAGCACTCCCTACCGGTGGTATGCTTGCTCCAGTAAGATACAACCAGTCACATAAGAAAAAAGCCTACACATTCACCCTCCTGAAGCTGGTTCTGAACTCCTGGCTTTGTTGTGAAGGACTCAAAAAGAATCAGTGCTACCCACAGCAAAACCAACAGGCAAATAAATGATGTTCATGCCATCCTCCAGTCCTTCTTCCCTGCAGCAAGCTTGTAGTACCGACCCAAGCAAGAGCCTGCACAGCGTGCCAACACTGAATTAGGCCTATGCCACAAGCTGCCTTTCTTGTTCCAAATGTTTCTACTAGTTTCATAAAATAGGAAGGGAAAATTGACACAGGATTCCTCTCAGTTCCAACTGTACCTAAGATATATGCCTAGTTTTCTGCTTATTTCAGTCATCTTCCTGCTCTGTTGACTTCAGCTTGATGCTAAATGATAAAGAAATGGATGATACCTATAATGCTAGTAAGCTGTGCATTTGCCAACTGGAAAGGGAATCTTCAGACTGTTCTAGGGAATAAATAATACATTTAAAGAAGATAATAAAAGTCAGACATAATAACTCAAGGAAATATTGTTGAAACTACAAGAAAAATACTGCATCTACCAATTCAGGTTTCTCTCGGTAGTCCCCTTGTCACATACTGAAGTTCCCAGGCCGAGAAAGTTACCTTGCCAACACATTCCATTTAATTGCTTCTGGGTTGTTTCTGTTTGCAATCATTTTGTATAGAGGCTACTGAAAGCACAGTTAACTTCTCAATACAATGGATAATGTGTCCCATTGATTATTTTGGAGGAATTTCTTCACCTTCAGATGTTTCCATATAGATGAAGTTTCTGAATAAAAGGAACTGACTACAGCAAGCAAAAAAATTCTCCTAACTTTGTGTTTGTTAAAGCCAACTACTGCTATAGTCTCTAACCTGGTATATACACAGATGATTCACAGACCACTGTCACGGTTTAGGCCAGGGTAGACTAAACAAAACTGAATTACTACGTAATAATTGAATTCATGTAGAGAAGTCTGGATGCTTATTGCCTCTGTGACAGGAACACTGTAAAAGAGCTGTGTTCTCCAGCTTCCCCCCCAAAAACAGACTGTAATAATCCAGAGAGACCAGTATTTTTAATCATGTCGTTACTCTTACCTCAGCCTTTCTTCTTCTTTCTTTCGAAGGCTGAAATCTCGCTGAACCACCTGGAGCACGTGCTCTGCTTCTTCATCAGTCAAGCCTGAAAGATCCAGTTTTCTCCCCATTTTATACTCTGTCCTGGATAGGAACAGTTATGAGGAATATCTGAAATCATAAACAGAACAACAAAACGCAAAATCAGTTGAAAACACTGATATTTTTCCCAAGTGTGTTGAAATCACAGGCACAGCTGCCCAACAAAAGGTTACTGCCATTAGAGAAGAACATCATAGAATCCTGCAATGATTTAGGCTGGAAAAGACCCTTAAGATCGTGGAGCACAACCAGCTACCTCACACTGCCAAGTCCACCACTAAACCATGTCTTTAAGCACAGGTCTTTTCCATGCCTCCAGGGATGGTGACTCCAGCCCTGCCCTGGGCAGCCTGTTCCAATGCCTGAGCATCCTCTGGGAAAGGAATTGTTCTTCATCTCCAGTCTAAACTTCCCCTGGTGCAGCTTGAATGGTACATTTGAGAATTATCTTTCAAGTTCTGAAACCAGACAGCCCCATATTAGAACGAAATGCAAAAGAGAAATCATTTTGGGTAATAGATAATATTGAGGGGAGACCTCAATGCTGCTCTCCACACGAAACACATTCAACTAACTCAGGTGAAATCATATTTGGATTATTTCTGAAGATCTTACACCATGGCTCTGCAAAACCATTTACAAAACAAAACCCCTGTGAACATGTCTGAATAGAGAACACCCCCTTCTGGAACATTCAGAGGTATTTTTGTGCCACCAACTAAGAAACCAGCATTTCAAATCAACATTAAAAGGAGTATGAAGGTATCATTTCAAACGCATTTCCCAGTGTGACTGGAAAGACACAGATGTCACTGCTATCAGGACAGGAAAGAAAGCAGGATTCATCCCATTATTAACGCCCATAAGCTTTATAGGAAAAACTCAGTATATAACTGAAAGGAAAAAAACACCTATTTTAAGCAATTGCTGGAGCCAATAGAGACACCTCCATGGTACGGCTACAGCTGACCAAGACACAAGACAATGAAGAGATCAAAGATGTAGTTCCAGCTGTTCTTGAGCATCAAGTGAACAACTGTGATGAACACGGTCATAATAAGCTCTCCCTTGAGGTCTTCAGCAAGATGCTTTGGGAAACAGTGTCAAAATTAATGGTGGTTTTTCACACCTGCAAATTTACCATTGGGAAGGAAAACCAGCCCTTTGGTCCAGCTGCCACTATCAATGAGGATGTATTATAAGGGGAAAATTTACCCTTGAATGTATTAGAAGGGGGAAGCATGCAGCCCCAGTACCTTTGATTTTGGGGGTCAGAAATGACTTAATTTGAAGTAAAAACATGTTTTAAAATCACCACTGACTTTAATTTGATTTTGATGTGGTTTACTTGGAATCACAGAACAGTTTGGGTTGGAAAGGACCTTAAGATCATCCAGTTCCAACCCCCTGCCATGGGCAGGGACGCCTGCATCCCAATAGTACATAAACCTCTAAGGAACTTGTGTAGGTTTTTCCCCACAGGAAATAACTCTGATCTGGGAGTATCACAGCAGTTTAAAAGGACTTACAAACAATGCTCAGATGTCTCTTTTTCAATAGATCCGGATTATGCATTTCGGAAATGCACAATGGCAAATCCTCCAGAGGAAGTGAAACAAGTTACATTAAAAACCAAAACACAGACAACAAAATAGTTTCTCAGCCTAAAATAACTTCTGGCCTCAACAGAAATAACTTCCATGAGGCTATTCAGATGTTTGCTTTTAGGTGTTTGCCTTCATGAGTAATAAATACTTCTCTGCTAAGGCTGCTCAGCCTGGAGAAGAGAAGCTGTGTGGAGACCTCAGAGCAGCTTCCAGTGCCTGAAGGGGGCTACAAGGATGCTGGAGAGGGACTCTTCATCAGGGACTGTAGTGACAGGACAAGGGGTGATGGGTTCAAACTGAAACAGGGGAAGTTCAGGTTAGATCTAAGGCAGAAGCTCTTCCCTGTGAGGGTGCTGAGGCGCTGGCACAGGGTGCCCAGAGAAGCTGTGGCTGCCCCATCCCTGGCAGTGTTCAAGGCCAGGTTGGACAAAGGGGCTTGGAGCAACCTGGTCTGGTGTGAGGTGCCCCTGCCTATGTCAGGGGCTTGGAACTGGATAATCTTGAGGTCTTTTCCAACCTAAACCAGTCTGAGATTCTAGAAAACTTTTGCTCAACAAATTAACCCACTGTAAGAGGAAAGCCTAGGCTTGCAATACGTGATTATTGCTTGAGTAATACTGCAATCTTAATGCTTCTTACAGGCGGTTTTAAAATCAAAACTTCCACAACAAAAACATTCCTTGAATTTAACCTTAAAAACCCAAAACACTGAAACACCCAAATGCCAAAATATCCCCACAGAGCAATGAGCAAACGAAATGTTGCAAATGCTCCTGAATTTTAAAATGGACAAGAGCATCTCCCCAAGAAATGAGGGCAAGTAGGATATTTCCTAGCCACTCATATGACAGCTGAGCTGTTCAGACTTGCAGCCTCAGCAGAGGATTAGCATTCCAGGAGGGTGGGGAGAAAGCCCACAAAGCACCAAGTTACATTTCAAACGGATTTACTGCTTGACAATGAGCCCCCTTCTGAAGTTAATTCTGCAAGTGCCCACGCTGAGTACTGTACAAGACGGGCATCTTAGTTTTATGTTGCAGCAAAGAAATAAGCCCTAGCCAGACTGCATCTGCATCCCGTCTGGGCTCCCCAGTACAAGATATAGACTGAAGAGAGTACCTGCAGCTCAACGCCACAAAGACCATTAAGGTACTGGAGCATCTTTACCATATGAGATGCTGGGAGCTCCAGAGCTGCTAAGTCTCAGGGCAGGAATATACAGTGTGTATCTGCTAGAGATGCTTCCAATCCCCTGGCACCACAAACAAGAATATCCTATAATTCTTCCCATTCCTGAGCAGATTTGCAATCAAGAACCAGCTGATTCCACAACACAGTATCATTTTTGCTATAAAATGCTGCTCCTTGAAGCGCACTGATGAAATGTGGTACTTGAGGAGCCAGTATCACAAACGCCTTCAACCCAGGTATTTGCAACTCGAGTATTTCAGATAGAATACGTCTCCCTCACATGCTCTCAGCTTTAATCACCAAACCAAACACCAGTTTTTCTACTCTGTTCTGCTACTCTACAACTTCCAGTATTTTCCAGGTAGAAAAATCAAGAAGGAAAAAAATCTGCTAGGAATCTTTTGATTCTGTTGCCAACCAACTCATCTGTACTTCCTTCAGCAGTCTGTCAGGCCCTAAGAAATACTGCTTGATCTGTCTTGCCATTATGACTTGGCATTTGACCAACTTTCGCAGAAGTCTTTTAGTATCTTCAGATATTCCTTCTATAATCTTATTGATGAACATTTTGCCCGTTTAAATCACACAAGATTGTCATCTTTCTAAGCCACAAAGGAAGGCAAGCACTTTGTCCACAACAGAGCTCCATCACCACACGTTGTATTTTAAAGAGTTCTGTTAACTGGCTGCCTGAAATAAGTGATCCTGTTGCTAGCAAGGGGCCATCACACTCATTTTTTAATGTAATTGTCACAATACATATCATATAGAAATTATCAAGTGTCACACCATTTATTTGGTGACAAAAACAAGGTCCGAGTGTTGAAACTGTAAAGGGAGTTCCTGTGCTTTGATTTATGTCGACACACTTGAACAAAACAGACTCTAGACAAAAGACAACATTTAAAGAGCATTACTGTCCAAAGTAATTTCTACTAGAGCTAGCACATCCATAAGTCTAAAATGAGGCATAATTAATATTGGCCACAAATTCCATAGGGCTTTTGTTTCATTCTAAGGAATTCTAGAAGCTGCAGTAACCACCACTGTGGATATTCGTCCCTTTGCACTGGATATAAACTTATGTCCCAAAATAACAAGAAGAAAAATATACTCAAAGCCACCTCTTCAGATGAAAACGAAGCACAGCCCCACTGCCTTTAACATGAGGACTTGCATCCACTTTTTAGATGGGATGCAAGAGCAGGATGTCAAAGACGATGTTATTCTTTGTACCCACACTGATTTTAACTGAGATTTGCTGTACATGTCTCCTGTGCTAGATCCAAAGCAGAAAATTCTCCTTCTGTCAACCTTGGACCAATTTTACATGAGATTTGTTTAGAGGAGCAAACAGCTTGCAAGTGCCTGAGCAAAGTCAGGTTTCTTTCTCTGGGGGATGCACAGGGTGAAGCAGCAGGTTTTAAAAGAACCATGAAGTTCATTCACTTTCTCCTGGGAGAAACAGTCCTTATTAATGCACGTTACTGCAATAACTGTGTGCACTTCTTATCTAGAATGCCAGGACATACTATAGCGGGGGAAATTATAAATCTTCAAGTCCAAAGGGTAGTGCTGTGCGGGTTTAAATCTTAATCTATTTAGGAAATAAAGAGGAGTTTCACAGGCTTCTTGCTTCTATAGCTTACATTATTTTAAGTACTATGAATATGAAATAGCAGAAGCAGAAAAGCTCCACTAAAGTCACTTTTTAGTTTAATAAGAACGGCATCTCTCATCTAAGCACACTCCCAGAGGCAGAACACAGCATATTAAACTGTAACTAAAATAACCAGGAGCTATTTTGTTTATATAGCAAACTTCATTTTTACAGAAAAGCCTAAAGATTATAGGGAGGACTTATTTGTCATCTACTTTTGACAGATTAAAGAAAAAAAAAGGTCACATTAAAAAGAGAATCTTCATAATAAATCATGATGATTTTATAGCTACGTATCAGGCCTATAACTGACACACAGGTATAAATCCCTTGGTAATTCAAAAGCCAAATTCATTGACCAGAATAATCTCCCCACTGCTAACAGTGAACTCCCTAGAGGAAAGGCTTGTTCTAAATTTGGCTCTACAGCTGCTAAAGATCAAAGGTCATCCGGCATATACTGCTAGCACATATTGCATAGAGTCGTAGAATAGTTTGGGTTGGAAGGGAGCTTCAAAGGTCATCTGGTCCAATCCCCTGCAATGAGCAGGAAATTCACTGCTTTACAATATGCTCTCATTTTACTTTGGTCTCATTTTCCATTGTTTATG